AAAAGAATTTTTTTTTTTTTAACAAATAGGAAAAAAGGAAAAAAAATGGGAGACGGGGGAGGGGGCTGGCAGCCCCTCGCCCACCAGCGCCTCCCCTCACCGACTTTGGCCTTTCTAGCAACAGACACAAGGACCAGGCTCCGGCGGCGGCGGGGGTCACATACGGGTTCCCTCACGCCTGCCGCCCGCCCGCCCGCCCGGCGCAGATGCCCGCGGCTAGTGTATGTACATAGACGTTACGGCAGCCGAGGTTTTAATGAGATTCTTTCTATGGGCTTTCCCCCTCCCCCAGAACCTCCTTTTTTACTTCCGATGCTAGCTGTGACCCTGTACATGTCTCTGTTTATTCACTTGGTTATGATTTGTATTTTTTGTTCTCTTTTTGTTTGTTTTTGGTTTTTAATTTATAACAGTCCCACTCACCTCTATTTATTCATTTTTGGGAAAACCCGACCTCCCGCACCCCCAAGCCATCCCGCCCGCCCCTGCAGGGACCGCCCGCCACCGGGCTCTCCCTGCGCCCCAGTGTGTGTCCGGGCCCGGCCCGCCCGTCTCCGCTCGTCCGCCCTCGGCTCCAGCCGGGTTCTCATGGTGCTCAAACCCGCTCCCCTCCCCACGTCCTGCACTTTCTCGGACCAGTCCCCCCACTCCCGACCCGATCCCAACCCCGCCCGAGGGTGAGCGACTCCTGTACTGTAGGGGAAGAAGTGGGAACTGAAATGGTATTTTGTAAAAAAAATAAATAAAATAAAAAAATTTAAAAGTTTTAAAGAAAGAACTATGAGGAAAAGGAACCCCGTCCTTCCTAGCCCCGGCCAATTTTAAAAACACGGACCTTCACCCCCCACCCCTTTTTTTTTTAAGCGTGACAGCCCAGGGCCAGGGCCTCACTGGGGCAGGGACACCCCGGGGTGAGTTTCTCTGGGGCTTTATTTTTGTTTTGTTGGTTGTTTTTTTATCCTCCATGCTGGGGCTGCGGAGGGGTGGGGGGTTTACAGTCCCGCCCCCTCGCACTGCACTGTCCTTCTGCCCCAAGGGCAGAGGGGTCTTCCCAACCCTACTCCTATTTTCGGTGATTTTTGTGTGAGAATATTAATATTAAAAATAAAAAAAAAATCTCCTGTTTTGATTCCGTGCGGGTGACGGCAGGGAGAGTACCGGGAGGAGGGCTGCAAGACCGTGATTGATGGGGAGGGCCTGCATAGACCCCGGCGAAGGTGAGCCCCTCCCCGGAGGCGCCTGTGGAATGTCCAGAGCACTGGTCTGCTCCTCAGGATGGGGGGGGGGGGGTGCCTAATCCTAGAGCCGCATTCCAGGATAAGGGGGGTGGGGAGAGGCTGGGCCGGGGGAGGGGCAGGAAAGAGGGCTATAAGGGCCAGGGCCGCGGCCCAGGAGGGCGGGAGCCAGGAGGGCCATGGCGGATGTCCCCGGGGCGCAGCGACCGGTTCCCGGCGGCGGCCCAGAACCCCGGGACCCCCTGGACTGCTGGGCCTGTGCTGTGCTGGTAACGGCTCAGAATCTGCTCGTGGCTGCCTTCAATCTTCTCCTGCTGGCGCTGGTGCTGGGGACCATCTTGCTACCCGCTGTCACCATGCTGGGCTTCGGCTTCCTCTGCCACTCCCAGGTGAGCGTGCTGCACGGGGTGTGAGTGTGAATGTGGTGGGTGTTATTGTGTGATGATGCTCCCCGCCTGGGATGTTCCCATCAGTACGCCGTATGGCCCGGGTCGGCTTGGGCCTGACGTCTCTTCTCCTCCCACAGTTCCTGCGCTCCCAGGCACCTCCTTGCACCGCGCACCTGCGGGACCCTGGCTTCACGGCCCTGCTGGTCACCGGATTCCTGCTCCTCGTGCCGCTGCTCGTGCTTGCCCTAGCCAGCTACCGCCGCCTCTGCCTGCGCCTCCGCCTGGCCGATTGCCTCGTGCCCTACAGCCGAGCCCTCTATCGGCGCCAGCGCGTCCCACAGCCGCGGCAAACCCTGGCCTCACCAGGGTCGCAGGCCGTTCCCACATCAGGAAAGGTCTGGGTCTGAGGACAGTTGAGTCAAGAACAACCCGGACGGCTGCCCTCCCTCCCAGTTGGCTCAAGGACTCGAAGTCCCGGGATCTTCTGACCCGCCCCGCCCCCACCCCTGCATGAGCCGGGCCTTGCATCCTCTTGGGGAACAGCACCATCTGTGAACCCAATGCTGGTGAAAATTCCCACACCCCGGAAAACCCACTTTCCTCTCACTACCCGCATCTGAATTCTGAACATCTGGGCTGAACTCTGCACGTCTTCCCCCCCCCCCCTCCTTATCATGAGCAGGACAACTGAACCTTGCGCCCTCCTTTTCTGGAGCAGCTCCCCCAGTGTTTACGGGGCTGGAGGGGAAAGAGTAATCACACATCAATAAAGAATTAATAAGCTGAATGCGCTCTGTGAACGAGGGATGGCACAAATACTATCAACCCTGCCCTGTGCCCGGGAGCAGGCGCGGAGGCTACGAATGCTCAGACGGAAGCATCCTTCAGCCTCCTGGCCTTTCCTTATCGCGTTAGCCCATTCGTCCTGGCCAGACCCCAGAGATCTATCCCTGACCTCAAAGTCACCTTCCCATCAACACAGCGGAGGGGACCCGGCCTCGGCCGCCTACCCTGCTCTCCTTGGGGACCCAAGTCCGTTCTCTGACCCCAGCTTAGAGGAACTCGGTGTTGCCAGGCCAGGGTGGGAAACAATGGGCCTTCCGGAGCAGGATGACACCTCCCTCCCGCCAGAATTCTGGAGCAGCAGCGTGGGAGGGAAGATGCAGGGGCCCACCCCGGGGCCTGTTGCTCCGCAGCTCAGCCTGTTTCCCATCCCCACTCCCGATCTTGAGGGAACCTTTAGCAACCCTGGACATCCAGGTTGGGGGTGGGGGGCTGAGAATGCTTCCGATCTCAGATAAACCCTCTCCTCTGGCGGTGCTATCCCTGCCCTGGCATCCCTGCTACACATAGACACAGGCCAGTTCGGTCATAGGTTTAATGAAGTCTGAAAAACATGCGTGATCGTGGTCAGAGATACGGAGGCCCCGTCAGGCTCTCTCTCTGCACCTCAATAGAAACGATGTGGTGTCCGGGTACCATGGCCAGGCCCAGCACACGAGGCTCCCCGGCAGAGAAGGAATCTGGAAAGAAGGGTCAGAGAATCAGGGAGGCAGGCCAGCGTCGGTCCCGCCCCTTCTAAACCACGAAAACAAGCCCCAGAAAACAAGGGGTGCAGCCAGGCCCTGAAGGGGAAATGCTTTGTGTGAGGTTCCGCCGCATTCCCAGGCGGGTGTGCATTCCCTGGGCACTGACCCGACGGCTTGAGGAACTCCTGCGCCGAGCCCAGAATGACATTGCAGTCGCGGTCGGTGCACAGGAAACAGCCGACCAGTGTCCGTCCATCTGTCATGCGAATGCGCATAGTCTTGTTGAGGAGCGCCTCTAGCTGTTGCCGGGCGCGTGCAGCCGGCGAGTCTTCTCGCTCCCCGTCGGAGTCCTGCGCAGGGCGGGACACGCGCTCAGACTGTACAGCCCCGGCTGCCGCCCGCCCGTCCGCGGAACCACAGCTCCCGGCAGCCCGCGGGGTGCTCACACGAAGCCCAGAGGCTTCTGGGAGCTGTGGTTCCCCCCGTACCCCCATCTTGCTGCCCGACTGCCCCTCAATCCCAGAACCCGAGCCCACGCTAACCCCGGCGCTGGAGCTGCTTTGGCGACGACTGCAACAGCCATTCTCCTCTCGTAGTAGCATGGTCGGTGCAGTTCCGGCCATTTGCCTCGGGGCCTCCTCTAGGCCCTTCAACTTCCAAAGAACCTTTCGGGTCCGGTGGTCTGAGATCTCGCGAGCGCTCCCGACCTCTTTCCTTTCGCGAGATCACCTCTCCACCTCCTCCTAGTCTCCTCGGCAACTCAGGGATCTCGCGAGCTTCTCCTCCTCAGCGCTGTGGCTCAGTGGGGCTTATTACGCCGATGTCGTAAGATATCGCGAGCAGTTGACCTTAGTTTCTCACACAGCCTTCAGAGACCCTGGAGGTTAGCCAGAATACCTTCTTTCCTGTTGGGCACCCCCGACCCCTTGTTTTTCTGCCTTGGGAGATAGTCTGTCCTAAATATCCCGTGCAGCCCAGGCCACTGGATCGTGGTCGCTTTCGCCCAGATCTCCTGAGGACGCAACTCAATTACTTGATCCTTATTTCCCGATGCCGAGATCCGACTACATTTCCCGTGAGCACGCGCAGCCTAAGCCCCTCCTCGCCCACACAGTGTTTAATCTCAGTGGTCGGTATCCGGAAAAGGACAATGGTTTCCATGTCAGCAGATAAACGCGCTCCCCTGAGCTGCTGGACGAGAGGGAGGATGTAGTAGTGAATGTCTGCTGAGAAGTAAGGATGCAACTAAGGGAGTCGGTGACCCACAGAGCAAGAGCCTTGCCGCGCCGGGGCCTGGTGGCTGGGCCAGACTTTGAGTATTTCCGGCGTCGCTATTTCACGCCGGCGGAGGTGGCCGAACACAACCAGCCCGCAGACCTCTGGGTGTCTTACCTGGGATACGTGTATGACTTAACGCCGTTGGCAGAGGAGTACAAGGGTAAGGACCACACGTTGGGCCGGGGCCGGGGTGTGTGGCTGGGTGGGTGGGATGCCTGGTTCTTGAGTTACCGGCATTGACTGCGGCGGCTGCTGCTTCCCAGGGAACCTGCTGCTGAAACCCATCGTGGAAGTTGCGGGCCAGGACATCAGCCACTGGTTTGATCCAAAGACTAGAGACGTGAGTTCTGCTGGAACCTGAGGTTGTGGGGAGGGACAATGGAGAGCGGGATGGGGAGAAAAAGAGGGGGCTAGTCAGAGACTTAAATAGTGACTGCTCCTACCCCCTCCCTCTGCACCCAACCCCTGCTTTAAAGATCCGCAAGCACATAGATCCGCTGACCGGCTGCTTGAGGTACCGTACCCCGCAGGGCCGCTTTGTGCACGTCCCGCCTCAGCTGCCCCGTTCGGACTGGGCCAATGATTTCGGGAAGCCCTGGTGGCAGGGATCGTATTATGAGGTGGGGCGGCTGTCTGCCAAGACCCGGAGCATCCGCATCATTAACACGCTTACGTCGCAGGAGCACACACTGGAGGTGAGAACTGGTGCCTAGGGGCAGATTAGAGGGAACTGGAAATCCCAGCAGATCTTGAGGCAGTTTTCCATAACGTGAGGGAGCTGTACTTTCTTCCTTTTACACTGAGGTGGCTGAGGAAAGCAGACCACCTAAGCTCCAGGGTTGGGAATTCTAGGATTATCTGGGCCACAGGGATACAAAAGACTCCTTTATAAGCCCAGGGCAGCAGTTAATGCATCTGAGTGATGGTGGTCCTTTGGAAACTCTTACATGTTGTTTTGGACAGCAATTGGATTCTCTTATCAGTCTACTCTATTGCAGAGATCAAGAGAGGGGGCAGTGGCTTTGACCCTTTAGGACTGTTTGTTAGAAGTGGCTGCCATAAAGATAGGTAGGACTTTGGGGCTCATTCATTGTATGCTGCAGCTTCAACTTGATTTCTGGAACTGTGGAGTGCCTGATACTATCTGCTAAAGGAGGAACTCTGAACCCAGCTCTATCATATCCTGGGCTATTGGCGTGTGTGTGTGTGTGTGTGTGTGTGTGTGTGTGTGTGTTCCATCCAGAATTCTGGGGGTGGGGTGCTTCCGTGTTCTTCAGGTGGGGGTCCTGGAGTCAATGTGGGAAATCCTGCACCGCTATCTTCCCTATAACGCACATGCTGCCAGCTACACGTGGAAATATGAAGGGAAGAACCTGAACATGGATTTTACCCTGGAAGAGAATGGAATCCGGGATGAGGAGGAAGAATTTGACTATCTCAGTATGGATGGTACACTTCACACACCTGCAATACTGCTTTACTTCAATGATGACCTCACAGAGCTATAGGAAAGGAGATGTATGCTCATATAGACTCAATATTTTGAGTTTGACTTTTTCTGTGCCCTAAGAGGTGGGGGTTGGAGGTGCCAGGACCTACACCTCTATTCCCCTTTGGGAACTGGCCTGTGGTTCCCATGCCCTTTTGAAGTGTAGAGGTCCTATTCTCCAGTTCCATTGCAATTTGCTCCGAGAAAATTAGGGAGAATGTTAGAATGTGAATTAATAGTTAGGAACAATAAAGTAGAATGAAGTATCTTGGATGAGGGAGATATAGAAGAGCTAAGTAATAGATAGAGCTCAGGCAGAACTTTTTGATAGTAAGAGAAAGAGAAGTCCTACAGGGATAACTAATGGAAGGACATTTTTGGCTGTGATGGAAATAGGATGGCTGTAGGAAGATGGGATTTACAAATAGGAAATGTCTATCACTGACCATACAAAGCTGGGTTATCTCCCTCCTAGAAGAGAATTTGGCAGCAGAAACCCAAGGAAAAGAAAGGAAGTGAATGTTTAGGTAATTCAGGTTAGCTATTATGCTGGGTGCTTTATACACCTTCTTTAATACAACTACCCCATAAAGTGGATATCATTACCACTATTTTACAGATAAGTCTTTAAAAACTTAGAAAGGTTTAACTCCACAAAGGAACATTAGTTAGTAACCATCAGAGCCAGGATGCAAACAGAAGTCTGCCCAACTCTAAAGTCCATGTTCTTTTCAGTAGTCAAAAGGAATAATAGTCAAAGGGACTATCTCAATATCTAATCTCGTGCTAACATTTGTAACCACTGCTCTCAGACCTAGTATTTAGGATGTGTGTTTGTCCTAGGTTCATTGCACAATGGGAAACTGTAGGCCTGTTGTGTAGTCCACAGTTATGGTCTTTGGAAGGGAGTTAGTAGAGTCTTCTTCAGTGGCAAAGAGGAGGCAGGGAAGGCTAAAGGTCAGCTAAGCAATAGCCATTGAGACTACTTCCTTGTTAATCTCATGGCAAAATTTCTCTTCTGAGTTTTTTGAGACAAAGAGGTGGGTATTTACTGACTCCAGGAAAAACTAGAGTGGGGAAACAGACAGCAGATGGGACATTTTAGTAAGGGAACAAAATGGAAGCACTTTTTTAACGATGGGCCTTGCCACTTAGGGAAGGTGAGAAAGACACTATGAAAGATGGTGACTCTAAAAGAGGGAGCTTGACAGGGGTAATGTAAAGAGAGGCACTAAGTAAATCAGAAAACTCTCCTGGTGACTGAGAGAGAACAACCATGGGGGGCAAGGACTATATTTGGTCCCCTTTAGCCTAAGCAGGGGAGGAGAATTGAGAATAACAGACAGGTGAACTTCCTCGCAGCAGCAAGCAAAAAAGAATCAGGGAGATTTAGTGCATCTTCCTGGCAGGGGCACTATGGCCCAGTGCAGGGGAAGGTGGTCCCTGTGAGACACTGGGTGGGCTGCATAGGAGTTTTCTGAAGGGCGATTATGAGAGGCATGAACAAAGGTGGAAACATCCCTAATGGCTTCAGCAGTACCTGAATTCACTGGGAGACTGACAGCTTTTATCTATTCCCATGGAATGCAGGAGTCCAAGAGTGATCTGAATCAATCATTTTGACATTTAATCAACTCTGCAATTATTTCATGTGTACCTTGTCGCTCAGTTAAACCCTAAACTATCTGAGAACCAGAGCTATGCTGTTCCTCTAGCACCAGCCTCAGGGCTTGTACCTAAGGGATATGTTCTATTCTGCCTAAATCTAAGTCAAGTAGATTCTCTCTCCTGAATCTCTCTGGAATCCATCTTGCTTTCTTCAAGTTACCATCACCTCTTGTCTAGATTGCTGTGGCAACTTCCTAACCTATCCTCCCATTTCCACTTCTGCCCTCCACACTGTAGTGAGAGTGAGCTCTGAAAACCACACCCAAACATCTGACTTTCCTGCCTCAGATTCTTCAGTGGTTCTCCAGTTGCTTTTGGAATAAAGTCCTAAATTCAAAGGCCTTGCATAAATCAGGGCCTTGCATATCTCTTCTCTTAACACTCCTCTTTGTTCCCTGTACCCCAGACACACTGGCTGGCTTTCAGTTCATTAAACATCTTCTTGCCTCTGAACCTTCACAGACCACTCTCTGCTTGTAGCACTCTTCCTTTCACTTTTCACCTAGCTGATCCTAAATGTTTCTTCCTCAGGGAGGCCTTTTCTGATTTCTCAGTGTGGGTCAAGACTTTCTGTTAAATCTTCTCTTTGCACCATGCAATTTTCAGAGTTCTTACAATTGTAAAATTATGGATGTGATTGGCTGGCTGCCAGATTGTAAGCTCATGAGGGCAGAGATCTTGTCCATCTTGTTCATTGTTGTATTCCCACTGCTGGGCACACAGTTGCTGCTCAATAAATTTTGATTGAATGAACTCAAATGTTAAGTGAATTCATCTGTCTATAATAACTAGTGGGTGGGATGTTGTGTCCTGGGAGACAAGGCGGGACCAAGAAATAAGATGTCTGGCTCCTGTGCTGTAGTGTCTATCCACAGATTTCCCTTTCCCTGCCTCTCATAGATCCAAGACCAAAAATTACTCCATTGAGTTTCTTCCTCTCACCAGATTTTTTTGGGAGCAATTCATCTGTTCTTTCCCCATATGGCCACCAGGTGGCTGTAATCACCTATGGAGTCAGGGAGGGGACCCTGGAGCATGGAAAATCCTTTCAAGTTCCAAAGACGTTAGGATTGAAGGTGGCCCTTTGAGATTTCTAGTGGGGAGGGAAGAATTAGAAAAAAAGGAAAAAACACATGGCCACCATTGTATTAGCATTAGGTTTACTCCTGCTTTTACTTTTTTTCTACAAGTACATGCCAGGAAAGGAGTGCAGTTTGAAAAATAATTCATGGCATAGAAAGTAGGGGGTGTCCTGATTACGGGTGTGGGTCTGTATAGGGCAAGGTACAGAACTGAGGAAGGAATAAAGACATCACACATTTTTAAGATGATAGAGTGCAATCATTTATTAATAGTTATTGATTTTTTTTAGTTGGCTGGCTGATACAGGGATCAAACCCTGGAACTTGGTGTTATCAGCACCATGCTCTAACCAACTGAGCTAACTGGCCTGGCTTTTTTTAAATAAAGCTTTCTACTAGGCACTGCCTTATTCTTTAAATATCCAAGAGTGGATATTTGCATGAGGTGTATGTAAATAATGCTTCAACCTGAAACCTAGAAAGTAAATAGAACATGAATTTAGGGTCCAAGTCCTCTTGTGGTGATCACTTTTGTAATGGAGGGAGGTGGGTGGAGGATGAAGTGTTGAAGGGAAAGCTGCCTATCCTTAGTAAACCACAGCAGCTTCAAAGGATTCAGTTGGCAAATATTTCCCACAAGTCGCAGTCCCTACATGCACACATTACTGGGGGGTAATAAAGAGACATATGTTCCTTGCAGGAAGCTTGCCTGCTCATTGGGATAAAACATGCACACATGAAAAGATACATGACAATGGTACATGATAAAGGAACAAATTATGGTATAGAAAGTTACCATCTTCATGGCAAATCAAAGGTGTGTTCTTAACCTGGACATCCTGAAACTTTCTAAATAGTACGTGTGTATGCGTGTTGTGTTTAGATGTGTATTATTTTTGAGAAAGGTGCTACAATTTCCATCAAATTCTCAAAATAGCCCAACCCCCTACACCTGAAATAGTACAATCACTCACAAGTAACAATAAAGAGCCTCAAAAGTAAAATATCAAAAGTGACGATATGATGTCCCAGGATTCCTGGCACCCGTCGGTGGTCTGCCTCAACTTGTGTTATACCTGCTTTGTTCCCATGGCAGAAATTCCTAAAGCTTTAACCTTTGGGGCCAAGTTTATGACTAGTCTGAAGTGTTTTACTACTGTACCAAATTTTGATCTAGTTGTACCTTGAGCTCAGTGATGGGACATATCATTTGGGTTTGGGACTGTAACGCCCACCATGACATCAGGATAAGGTTAATGCATCCAGCCTCACAGGCTGAGTTTTGGGAGACCACATAGATGTGCTGATATTGGGAGAACAGCCACTTTATGATGGATCCATAAGAACACGTGGTTTAGTTGTAACCACATAGACTTTGAAACCTGAATGATCTTTATCTTGGAAGTCAAAGATTAGGTATTCAAAATACAAACAGATGGGCTGGCCCGGTGGCGCACTGCTACAGTGCGCCGCTTGGGAGCGCGGTGGCGCTCCCGCCGAGGGTTCGGATCCCACATACGGACCGGTTCCCGCTCACTGGCTGAGTGAGGTG